ACTAATAACTTTGAAAACTCAACTGGTAAACTAAGTTGGAACTAGAGAATTATCACAAACTGAACTATTGCCCACAATCATCCAGACATAACATTGATCCATAAAAGCTTATGAAAAACATTTTAAAGAGATGTCACTATGCCAAAGACTCAGAATCTATAAGCTATATAGAATGAAAAGCTTTCAAAATACAGAAAAATCAGAATCATGTGGAAACCAGATGAGCCACATATCCTTGTCAATGTCTATTGACTCAGCATCAGAAATGGATTTGATTTTATCAATGGAAAATACATTAATGAAGTAAGTAATGAATAATTACCATCTGCTTTGCTGTTGAACCCTAAGGTCCAATGGACCTTTCCATCTGACTTGTAGCTGAAATCTTCTCTGTGTGTTGATTTAGTCTATTAGAATGTAAGCTGCTCAGGAAGTAGCTTACTTTTCTATTTGTATCCCAGGCACTTTTTACATATTAAGTGCTTAATAAATACTTTTTGTTCATTCAATCATCCATTTATCCTTTATGCCACCAAATTTATACCAAAGATTCTTTCAGTGCACTCGGAAGATGAACTCATTTCTTGATGTTTAATTAGCTGCAAAAATTAGTTTTTTAATCCACCTATCCAATGATCCGCACAACATCAAATATAAAAGAATAGCAGCAGAATAGTGACTTGTCCTAGGACCATTTCTATGCTTCAAAAACAACAAAAAAAGAACTATTGATAGTAATAATAAGTAGTAGAAGTAGAAGTAGGAGTAGGAGTAGTGATGGTGGTGGTGGTGGTAGTAGTTGTGATGGTGGTGGTCATAGTAGTAGTAGTTAGTAGAAGGTATTTATCTATTACTTGGAAGTTTACAGAATATTTTATAGTCATTCTATGATTTGATCCTCACAATAGCATTGTAGGAAAAGGAATACCCTCATTTTACAAATAAAGAAAATCAAACCCCAGAGAGGTTGCCCCAGTCACATGACAACTACATGAAGAGCTTGATCCCTACATGTTCTGATTCTAAATTCACTGCTCTTTTCACTACTACACAACTTCTTTACCATGCAATCAACCCCCCCAATTTTCCACAATACAAATTAAGATTATTAGGTCAGGGTTATGGATTCCATGCCCACAAAGGCTTCTACCTCCATTTAGCTAGGTCGAGAGAAAAATGGCAAGTCACAAATTATACACCAGCCCTAGTCTGCCATATTATAGTTTGAACTAATTAGTCTCTGAAATCTCTTAGGGCTCTGAGATCCTATTATTCTTTGACTAGGATTGTTTGTTGGTTTTAATGCTCTTTCTGAATTCCTACTGCAAAGAGTCAGCAAAGACATTGTAATCAACAAAAAAGGCTTAATTAAGGAAAATGATAAACTATACTCACATATATTTTAAAGCAAGATTTGCCAAGGAAAATTTAGATTATCTGCTTGAAGGAAAGAATTGACTATGATGATTGGACACCTTAAAAGAATAATAGAAAGAGAAGTCCAGAAGGAAAGTAAACCTCTGTAAGAATGGGGAAGAAATAGAAAGGATTTGAAAATGTTTTTAAGATCAAGAAAAAATAGAACACTCAATCACCCAAACATTAACTCAATAGTTGATCATCCAAATATAATTTAATTTATAAAACAACTGACTGTTGGGCAAATAATGTCCTTGTGTTCAATTGTTTAATAGATCTCAAGTTATCTAAATAGCCAATTCCACCTCTTTAAACCCTTTCATAAGAAAGTCTTTTCTTATCAAGATCTATTGACTAAACTGTATAAATGGGGAAGTATCCTAATAATCCTAATTTGTATTGTGGAAAATCAGGAAGTTGGCCTGGATGAGTCTATGATTCTATGATTTACCTTTTAAATGTTATATTCATTCTGTCTTTGATCTTTGGCATATTTAGCTCTTGACTCTTCCAGTTGACAAATACAATTGATATTACTGTGTTTATACTACTTGGAATCATTTATGAATATATTTTAAAGCCTTTGAATAGTCTCCCTGAGTAGTAAGTTAGAAAGTCATGAATTGTCCCTTTCTAGTCATTAGGGTGCCATTTAATCTATTACTTTTCTAATGAGAGTTATGATGAAGTTATTTAGTGTAGTATATTACTACTCCACGCCCTCAGTGGCTTTAAAGAGTACCTTCTATGTCTATCAAATATTGGGAAAATAGTAGGCAATAGTGATTAATGATAGTCATGTTGAGTTTTAAAAGACAACACAATTATATGGAAATGAATGACATCTCATTTATTTACCTTTGAACAAGATTCCTCTATGAAGGAATTTTTAAATAGTTTAGCCTACTCTGCACACTCAAGCCCCACCATGTTTGTTTCCTCAGTAGAACTCATTTGCTTTAACCAGTCTTCCAAGACCCAGATAATAACAAAACACAATTGTCAGTGCAATATGGCAAACGTTACTAGGGATCTACTGTGTGCAGAGCACTCTGGTAAGCTCTGGGGGAGATACAGTATTCAGATAATACACTACCATTGTCCTCAAGGACCTTAAAGTTGGTTAAAGTTATAATTACACAGATATCTACAAAAATATACAATTTACATGATAAGTGCATTAGAGACAGAAAACAAAGTGATATATGAGGTTTTATGGGGAAGAATATTAATGAGTGGGCTAGCAGAGAAGGCTTTTTAGAGACGGTAGTATTTGGTATAGTTTTTGCATAGGACTTCAGAATTAGAAGAAGAAATAGGCCTTTATTGGCAAAGGAGATGATGATATAACCAAAGACAAATAAACATAAAAGCACTGTACTTTTGGAGAAGGGTAGTGCAGGGGATAGTGAGCATATCGTGACAGGAATGAAAAATGGGTGCAGGAAAGTAATATGAGATCCAGCTGGTAGGAAAGGTCCAGACTGTTAAAAGCCTTGAATAACAGACATGTTTTAAATTGTACTCAGTAATAATAATAGCTGATATTTATATAGCATTTTAAGGTTTACAGCATAGTTTATATAGATTATCTCACTTGAACCTAATGGCAGCTCTGTGAGGTATTAATATAGGTATTATTATCTCCATTTTAGAGATGAGAAAACTGAAATTCAGAGAGCCTTGCCTATAGTTACATTGTTCTTAAGTTGCAGAGGCAGAATTTGAATTAGCATCTGACTGAGTGCTCATCTAGCATTCTCTTACCTATTACCCCGTATCTACTTGCTTCAATATCTTTGAGCAAAGGAATAACTTGGTCAGCTATGCATGAGAGATTATGCCTACATGAGGGCAATAGCAGTGTGAACAGAGATACTTTGAGAATCTTGACACTAAAAATTGACAAACTTTCAAGGGAGAGATTGTTTGAGTCTCTAGGCTCTATGTACAATAAGACCTTCAGAGATAAAGAAAGAGAACATGAGCAGACAGAAAGTATATTAGAAGAGACATTAATTACAAATAAGATTCCTTTTGGCTTCTTTAGGAAAATAATAAGCAGGAAGCTCCCCCTGCCCCTCCAAAGATGACTGTGATTCTTTGAACTGAATTGGTGGTTGCCACAATGTTCCCTTTGCATTTAATTTGTATTTCTATTTAATTTCTGTCTGCTTTGTTTGAAGCTAATTATATTTGCTCTAAAACTTTTTTGTAAGTAAGAAACATATTTTCTAACATTTTAAACTCATCCTAATAAGCTATCTTAATTATAAAATAAGCAAATGGAAGCAGATTCAGCCAAAGAATATAGTTTTCTCTCTTCTACCCAAGTGCCCACTTGAAAAGAAGTTACTTATTTATGTCAGGATGTTCATTCTTTTAGGTTTTTAAGGCATTTGGAGAGCTGAAATTAATTTGCTCTTTTTTCTTCCTGACTGAATCTGAAACCTATGGCAAATGTTCCAGCCCTGGTGTCCTTAAGAGTTAATGTGCCTCTGTAACTATGTAACTTAGTGCCAAAAGAAAATCAGTCTCGTGTAATATTGACAGCTGTCACGGTATATGGAACTGAAAGAAGCCTTAGAGTCTGACCTTCTCATTTTAGAAAATGAAGCTCATAGAGGTGAAGCAACTTTCCCAAGGTCACATTGATAGTAAGGAGACAACATCAGAACCTGTTTCTTAGTTTGTAAAGTAATAGCAACCAGTCAATCAACAAGCAGTTATTAAATGCCTAATAATTGCCAAATGCTGTGCTAGTTGCTAGAGAAATAAATACAAAGAATGAAACAATTCCTACTCTAATGGAGCTTATATTCTGATACTATCTAAGTATACACAGCACAAATATAAAGGGAATCAAGACAATGTAGTTAAATAAAGGTAGTTGGGGAGGAAGGAAATCAGTGAATAGTAACTGCAATGAGAAATGTAGTATGGTGTCAACTTTATCAACTAATTTTTTACTTAGGAATTATTTTTACAATGAAAATTTATATTCAGATTCTGTATTTTTGCCATTTACCAATTATTTGCATTCAAAGAAGGTTTTTAGCTTTAAATCCTTTAACTTACAATGAAATATAGTGGCTGTCCTTTTTCATTTTATTATACTAATATGAATCATAATGTTCTCTTTTCCTATGTGTCTCTTTTTCTTAGAAAAAATGTGACTCTTAAAAAGTAGAATATAATGAAACTTCCTGCACTCAATAAGTAGAATCTATTGAAAGTATAAAACTTCATATTAATAGCAAAGTACCAATAGAGATTAAATTAAAAGACAAGATTAAAAGTAAGTTAAAATAATTCTTTCCTGGATGCTAAGAATATAAAACAGAACTTATATATCACATACCTATTTCTATTAGAAAAACATAAATATAATTCATCCAATGAGACCAGTCCAAAGTATCTCTTTTAAAAAATTCAACCTAAAATACTGTAACTTAAAAGAGAAACCTGTCTCACTAATCAATTTCCAACAGGAAAAGACTTCCTGTTCCATCTTTGCCTTTGGCACCTACTACAGTCCTACCATCATTGATAAATTTTAGCAAAGATGACAGAGTACTTACGCGTACATCATGTACCCAGGAGCTGGGCACCTTCTCTTCTGTCACCATCTGATCTGTATCATCTCAGGATACAGTGGAGGCTTTGAAGGCTGGATGAAGATGAACAATGAAGTCACTGGCAATAAAGACAAAAACCAGTCTGACCAGTTTCAGTGACTGCAGCCTCGATATAGGCTGATAAGAGACATGAACATTTTTGCAAGGGAGGAAGAATTCCAATGTGCCAGTCAATTCCAAACAAATATGTAAACAATGACAAATACTTGAAAAGGGAACTTTTAAGCAGTGCATGTAGGTAGGCATATAGTTAACTCCTGGTAATAATTCTTTCTTTTAGGGAACCAAGGTTTGAGGTATGACCTCATCTTGTTCAAGACCACTTGAAATAAAAGTAACACACTTAAAGATTTTTACTTGAGGGGTTTTCATTTGTATTTTGTCCATTGGGACTTTTATAATTGAAAAGATTTCATATTACCCATAAAAAGTGGCTAAATGCCATACATTAAACATGTTCATTAAGCCCTTAAATTATTTGAACTTTGAGTGAACTCAAGCATCCTGATGAAGTGAAAAAAGAACTTGATCTGGGTCAAAACACTTGGTTTCTTGTCTTGTCTCTGTAGCTAAATAGCATTATGACATTAGGCTAGCCATTTAAGGCTGTTGCCTTAAATCTGAATTCAGAACTCCTGAGCAGTTTTCTTGTTCTTTTCCCTAAAATGTGATTTCCAGGTTTTTTTTTTATTTGTCATGTTCTTCTCAGAGTCCTTTGATACTTAAGTTGTCCCTGTACTTTCTGTCAAGATTAAGGATTGTTTATGTAGAGAACACTGTTAAAGTATTGCCTTTTGTTTCTTTTCTTCCAGATTTCCCTTCACTTTTATATATGTATTCTAAATCTGTTGTTTTTTTCTTTTGCTTCTTTGGAAAAGCTTGCCAATGTGGATTCAAGTTTTTCTACTCTGTTAATTATTTCTCCAGCGTAGGCCATGCATGCTTTTCTTCTGACTTGTTCTTTAAGGTTTTAATCTCTTTTGAATTATTCTGGGATATCATGTTGCTGCTACCTTGGGTCTCCAGAGTATTTTGTGTTTCATCAGACTTTGGTTCAATTACCTTTATTTTGTAATGTTTATTAAGAGAAGTTTGTATTCTTTTTGATGTTTTAGTACTTATCCTTCCCTCTATATGTGGTGTGTGTATATGTATGAATTCTCCTATCCCTCAATTTCTGACTCTGCCCTTCCCTAAAAATAGATATAGCCCAGGGAAAGAATGAAAACCTGCCTCACAAAAAAAGAAAAAAAGCACTGGTTAGGATGTCAGAAGATTTTATTCTTATCCTACATATTTCCCTAAATACCTATGTGGTTTTCAGTACATCAATTTACCTCTCTGTCCTCGGTTTTCATGTCTGTATACAAAATGAATAGAACTAGATGATCGCTAAAGTTCCTTCCTGCTTTAACATTCTGCTTAGGGCTACTGGAAAGTTCTCAGGCTTAGTAAGGTTTACTGCATTTATTCCAACCAGTGAATAAAGGGGAAACCCGTCTCATGATTCATTTTCCAACAAGAAAAGACTTCCTGTCCTATTTTTCATAGCTCCCTTATTGATTTTGGTTCATTTATATAAATCCTGGCCAGAAAAAAGCCTCAGAAATCTAAGGCAAATCACTTATTTTAGAGATAAGGAGTCCTCCAACCAACATGATGGAGTACTAGACATTTTTTCCAATCCCTCCCACACGGCTAACAGGGGCATATATGCAGGGCAAAAATGTAGTCTTCCAACAGCCTAACCACTGTGTTTTTTTTGTTTTGTTTTAAAAATATATATATTTTGTTTTGATAAAAGAGATACTACCCAACAAACACTCAAACAGCTATCCCTGCAAAGTGTAGTTTATAAAGTGATTGACATTTTTACTACATTATTTTCCATTTTTGTTATTTACTTGTTGTTAAGAGAAAGGAAAGATTATTTGGTATAAGAATTGTCACTTGTCTTTGACTTGCCTCTTGCCTCCTTTTATATTGTTTTTATTTACATAGTTGTAAACATTGTAGATAGTGTTCCTTTGCCTCTTTCATCACTCAATATGGCTTTAGTTGCCTTCTTATGTTTGAATTCTTCATATGTGTCATAGTTTCTGAATAACAACATTCTGTCATTTTCAAATACTATAATTCATCAAAGCATCCCACCAATTTTTGGGTATAGACTTTATTTCTAGGTTTTAAAAAAAATCATAATTAATGACACTTTGACACTTTTTACATGTATGTATTATATGTGCCTTTTTTGTTGTTGATAGACAGGTGCTTTTTATACTCTCTTGTATTGTCTACACATGGTCTCTTTAAATCACACTAAATAGCTACAGTTTTAGGCCAGGTATATTGACCATCAAAGTAAAGAGAACCCTAGAAAAATTGAAGATCAAAGATTCAAAATCAATATATTATAACTTTAATTGCTAATTTTACAGACTATGGAAAAGCATCAAAAATTAATTAATAAGTGTGTAAATGTCATATTTACACAGTATCTTTCTCAGAAATAATCAAAGCACCTTTAAATTAATGAACAAGCGTTTATTAATCACCTACCGTGTGCCATGCACTTCATTAGGTTCTGGGGCTACAAAGCAATAAAATGAAGCAATCCTCATTCTCAGGGAGCTTACATTTTAGGAAGGACCCTCAGCCATGCTTCACCTCTGATTTACCTTGACTCTAAAAATTCTTAACTTTTCCTTTCCTGCCTCGCTGGGTTGCACCCTAGAGGGTACCTTCCTTCTTTCCTTCCTGCTTCCAGCACTCCTGTGTGTGTTGTCTTACCCCATTAGAATGTAAGCTCTTTGAGACTAGGGAACTTCTTTATTATATTTGTATCCCCAGTGCTTAGGACATTGTTAATATATAATATATGCTTAATAAATGGAGCAACAGGATAAACAGATTATTTCTATCATTATATTTTATAATCCATGTTTCAGTTCTTTAGAGATGCAGTAACTGAAAATCAGGGGCACAACAGAATTTCTTGAAAGCCTTGTGAGCACGTTTCATGAGAATGTATACAGAATCTTGGTTCTTGGTTCCATATAGGAATAAAACTCTATGTTAAATACTTTAAAGTCTGTATTAACTACTTCGTAGTCAAATTAATCTTCAATTTAGTACAACTACCAGAATTTTACTTCCAGGAGTATTAGAAAATTAGAGGAAATGCAGAATTTCCATTAAAGAAATATGTAGTAATTATGTAATAATTGTAAAGCAATTTCTTTTACTGAGACTCTTAAATGTGGTGACCCATCATGGCATGGAGATAAACTTGGATTCTTTAAGACCATGCCAACAGGGGACCAACTTTGCTAGGTTCTATCAAGCAGCAAAGCTTTGTGGTGGGCTATATTTTCTTTTACCCAATGATCATTCTAGCTAAGTTCAAAGAGACTCAATGCCAAAGGTTTGGCTGTCAGGTGGGTTTTTTTTTTAATTTAACCACAGCAACTCATGAAACCATTATAATAAGGATAGCTATAACCTACAACAGTGGAAATTGAGTCTATAGCAATGAAATTGCTGCACATATGTAAATTACATGCTTATATGTAAAAATATAGTTTCCTTTATGTAAAACTTTCCTTTTAAAGAATTCAAGTAAATTTTATCATTCACTTCATCTTCTAGAAATTTTAAAACTCAAAAATTGGAGTACTTGTAATATAAAGATAGAATTTTAGTTTTGAATCTTTGATTCTTACAATTAAGATAGCACATTCATATTCATGAAAGTATCTTCAGTTCTTCATTATTACAAATAAAAATTCTAGTAATAGCAATAAGTATATCTCTTGAACTAAGTGAAAAACAATGAGGAAGCCCCAGATCTAAGGACTATAAAGTTTATGAACTCTTTAGTGAGTCATTTTATGTGTACCTATTCCTTTTGTACTTCAAAAAAAAAAGTTTCTACTAGGGCCTTCAAAAGTCATATGATCTATCCTACCACACTTAAGCTATGTATAACATATTAAAATCTATCTTATTTTTAGAGATCTCCATAAAGATTTCACAACATCTCTCAGGATCATAAGCCAGTATTTTACAGCCATCACTATGAAAGTCATTGTTATGAGAGAGAACTGTGCTTGAACATAGCTATTTTACCTCTAGCAATTACTAGCTGTGTGACTATAAGCCATCACTAAACCTCTGGTGAGCCTCCTTAAAGGGGGATAATGGTAATGACTTCAGAGTCTTACTGTGAGGCTCAAATGGGATCATGTGTGCGAAGTGCTTTGCAAAATTCAAGGCACTGTGTACGTCAGCTATTCTTCCTAACTTCCTTAAATTCTCACTGGTTCATGTTTTCTTCATGTGTAAAATGAAGAGGTTGAACTGCATTCTCATTCACAACTCTTCTATCTCTATCATTCAATGAAATTCTGCTTTAATTCAATGTTTTTATGCTATAAATAAAGCATATTATAATCAGCTAATTAAGTTCAATAAATATTTGTAAACACCTACTACATATAAGGCATTTCACTAGGCACTGGAGATTTTAAAAAATCATCATCTTCAAAGAGCTTACCTTCTTTTAGTCGCTATCCTCTGTATATCTTCATCCTTCACTTTTCCAGAATTAGTGCCATAATCCCAATTATTTTCATTGTTTTCCTTGGCTCTTCTCTGAGCCCACTCTGTACTCTGTAGTTCTTCCTTTAATTATTAAGAATCTGTTTAGTACAGGCTTAGAAGAGAAAAGAGTATGTATATACATACATACATACATACATACATACATACATACATACATATGTGTGTGTATATCTCACAATAACTCCATCAACTAATTCTTATGATAGATTGGCCCCCAATTTATTTGCATGGAAGTGCCAGCTATGAATTTTAGTCTACTGAATTTCAGTACTGACACACATAAACATTGATTTGTATAGATTATATCTTTGAGTGACATTATTATTAGCACTTGTGGAAATTCAATGAATACTAAATCAATCACTCAAGAAGCCATTCAATGAGAATGTGATGCAAAGT